AAGTAATCGCGTACGTAACATATACAGGGTGTTTGGTCCATGGACCTACACAATTTTCTCAGGGATTTCCAAATCACGCCATTAGCTACATTACATTACAACATTACAGTTACATGAACGAATATGTCATACGTTATAAACGCGTAAAACCTCAATATGCTGGCGCCAACCTAATTGCTTTTGACTTGCTGCAGTGTTTTTTTTATATGTAATAGTTTTAAGAGCGAAAATATCTTAAAAAATATAAAAGGAATTAATTTTACATATGATGCGAACAACTACAAATCGAAATAAAAGATAACCATAAAAAGAAATAAATAAAGTAAAATGTATTCTTGTCCTGTATAAGACTGAAAAATCCGGTTTCACCGTCGTGTAATGCAATATCGTATTATAGGGATTTTCTGCTGAAAACAGGTAATGTTTCAGTCAGAGTATTATTGGTTTTCGAATATATAATAGCATTATATATGAAGTTCCGCTTTGACATAAAAAGGAAAACCAGTTTTATTTTCCCTTTTGAAATCGCAAGCACCATTTTTAACCGACTTCTCAAAAAGGAAAAGTTCTCAATTTGTCTGTGTGCTGATTTTTGTATGCAGGGTGTTTGGCGCATGGACCGACATATTTTTTTCAGGGATTTGGGAGGTCATTACCCATAAATTTTTCGTCCAAAATGTCACTTAACATCAATGCATTCGTGATTTTCAAGAACATATATAACAAACAATAAATTTTCCAGTATTACATTTATATGCTGTTGTTTACTTCCAGAAATCCCACATATAATGAAGACATAAGGCTTATGGCTCGTTAGTTAGTCGTCAACACTCAATTATTTATCATTTCCAACAAGCCTGTCATCTACTTGTGACACCCACGTTGTGGGTATATGAAAATATTGAACAGCCCTTTGTTATTTTGTGTATAACGTGTGGAAAATTCTACAATTATTTTGATTTTCTGTAGATGTTGTGTTCGCAAGTTCTTTATGAAATTGCTTTAATTTGTAAGAAAAAATAATAATATATTCATTGATTTGCTCATTCTTCCAGAATGTACCTAGGTAGATACAGTAACTGTACTGAATAGAAATTTGAAGAAAACAGTCGGGTAAATAAAACATAGCGTTTAGAAAGTAAGACAAAGTTTGGTCAGCCATATGCACCTATCAGACTCATTGGTACGATATTAATATATACGAGTCTTACGCTGAAATACACAAATGTCACTCAATTTTAATTCGTGCTTAAATAATTATAGTTCTGTCACTACAAATGCTTTGTAAAATGACAGAGATGGCACGATATTTAAGTACAATTTAAAATTGAATAGCCTTTCAGTGTTCGAGCGTTAAGTAGGTAAAATATTGTACATTGAGCTTATTGGAGAGGGTGAACGACGAAGTACATTAAGTATTTATCGACATTTAACTTTAAAACGTAATCTAATGCGATAGGTGCAGTATTATACAAGATGTTCTATGATCATGAACATACTCTATTACTCAAGAGGGAGAACTCATTAAATGATTTTCCACCCTAAAAATGTTATTACTGAGGATTGTAATACACAATAATTCTTTAAGTTTTCGTGTATATTAACCACATACCCGCTAGACTGTTATCTACTATATAAAAATAAGTCGGGTTTTCCTTCCTGACGCTATAACTCCAGAACGCACGAACCAATTTCCACGGTTTTGCATTCGTTGGAAAAGTCTCCGTGAGGTTTATAGCAAAAAAATCAGAAAAACATTTTTTCGTCTTTTAAACATCAAACGAAAGGTTACATAAAACGATGCCATCTGGTGGCGAAACGGAGTTCGCCGTGTTTGCTAGTAAATACTAAAATTATTTGCGATTGTTACTAAAATTTACGAGCTTTGACTTTGGAACTAGATGACCTAAAATGGAATGTCGACTAAAATAGAAGGGTTTCAAAGCATACCCTTAGTAACTGCTATAAATATATGCAATGTTGTTGGATTATCTGTCGGGGAAACCGTGAGATGTTACAAGGTATTTGCATCCATTTGTGTTCACGACGAACTACGTCAAAGGGACTCCTAGTAATAGATAAACAACAATAGTGATTGAACAGAAGAAATAGCAATAGTAGTTTTTAAAAACGAACAAAGGAACAATGGTGTGCAAATAGTGTAGTGTTTGTGATTTAACAGTAAAATACAGTATCCACTTAAATATAGATAATTGTATTAATAGACAATACTTTGAAAACTCATTAAATATAGTAATTCTATAAATTATAATCGAAAGATATTCATGTTTTATCATAGGTCTTAAATTCTTCTTGTAAATTGTATGATTGTATATTTAATATAAGACAAATATTGAAAAATCAAAATATTGTCTCATCACATTATTATAATATGTAGAGAACATAAAATAATAAACAGAGTTTTCCACAGGAGCGCGAAAATGGGGAAAAATTGTTGTGGCGAGTAAAAAATATTTGATGTTTTTAATATTTTTCTACTATTAAGGAAACTAATTAAAAGGAATGTGTATCCTAACTGATATAGATCTATTTTACATAAAAGAAGTAAAATTATATATATAGTTTTAAATTTATAAACATAACGTCAGATGAAAATTATAGCGAAAATAAAGTCAGTAAAGTAAAGTTCCGGAGTACCTTGTTGACATAGAACCGTCGTAACATCGTAGCATCGAAGCGGCTGCGATGCTACGAGACGCAGCCACGTAGCATGCCCAACAGTTCACAGTTCCTCGTGCCTCTTCGGAAATCACCGACAGTAGTACTCGCTGAAGTTCTCACACAGTAACCATCGGCTCACAACAAGGTACTCCGGAACACCGGCGGCGAACCAGCGGCAATCGTGAACTCTACCTTTCACGAGATCGTTTGTTTCTTTCCACCTCCACCTACAACTTCTTCCAGTGTCACAACCAATACCGGTGCGTTGCGCGTAAACGGACAACTCCGTATCGAAGCAGTGGTGAGCGTCCGTACGTCCCCCACTGTTTGACTTTAATGTATTGTTATTCAGTAATGTGTGTACAATGTATTTTGTTTTTTTAAGGGGGGAAAATCATCGAATTACTGCCCCCGCCTGGGGGAGGCGGGAGGGAGTGTCAGACTCTTACTGACTAAAAACCACCCCGTTCCTTCTCCTGCACGTCGAGCCGGAGCCCCGGTTACCCGTTAGGTTCTCCGCGACGTGTACAATGTATTCAGTAGTTTGTCATGTTATGTTTTTGAAGTTATGAATTTCGCAGCAGTAATTAGATGGTGACTATGTTTAAAACTCTTTCACAAAAATCAATCGTGAGATTAAAACATCATTTTGTTCACCTCATCGTTGTCGTTGTGGTTCACCACACACCGGCTACACTGTAGCCATAGTGCGTGTCGTTTTGCTCGACACGCAAGTATTAATGACATAATTTGTCGACCTCTTGTCTCCGTTGGCGTGCCAGCTACTTTAGAACCTAATGGCTTGGTACGCAACGATGGCAAGAGACCCGACGGTATGTCATTATTCCCTTGGAAGATGGGTTGGCCTTTGGTATGGGACGCCACTTGCGTTGATACTCTGGCGCCATCCCATCTTCCAAACTCAGCGTGTCGAGCCGGTGCTGCCGCTGCTGCTGCCGAGAACCTCAAACGGCGAAAGTATGATAGCCTGATTGGCAATTATGCTTTCGAACCGTTTCGGGTTGAAACTTTAGAGTCCACGGCCCAAGTGCACATCTTCTTTACAAAAATATTGTAAGGAGGATGGTTGACACTTCAGGTGATCGAAGGGCTGGCTACTACCTTGGACAAAGGTTAAGCATTGCCATTCAACATGGCAATGCTGCCAGTCTTTTGTGCACCCTTCCTCACTATCGATAGCGATGAGGAAACTTTTTTTTTTGATGCCTTATGATAGCATTTTTTTAAGGTGTAAATATTTTAGTTCATAGTTATTTATATTTAAAGTTGTATATAATTTCATTTAGTAATAGACATCATTTGATGAATGCATGCATTTGTGCATAAATATACAGTTTATTTATATATAATGTCCGCTTCGTAACTAAAAAAAAGGACATTTTGTTTAACCACAATGAAGTAATGAAGACGAGGGGTCGAAAAGATCATGAATTGTTTCAATAAAAAGATGGCAACGGTCGTGTCACTTGTTTGTTCGACTTGGTGGGCTACGCCATGCCCACAGACTTTGGATGGGAAAAGAAAAAACACAACTAAACTTATAGGAGTATACCTATCTACCAAAAATTATAAATACAAACAAAAAAATGTTAAGTAGATAAACAAAGAGATTTGGTATGACAATCAGTGAAATTGCATTGGAAAACAAATCATTACCATTCATTATGCGTAATATCCAATTACTAAGGAAATACACACAAAATCTGCGTCTTGTTTGTATTTGTATCCTGTTTGTTCCATTTGTACCGTTATCATTATTAGCTATTATAATTATATGTAAATACAGTCTACACACCCCGTGTAAACTTACAAATGGCTATGCGGTAATTTCACACTCTCTCCTTGAAAACACAATTCAATCTAAATAATGTTGTTTTGTTCTACTTCTTTCCATGTTCCAGAACATTTTGTTCAATAATCAATATCATAAAAATAATTGGTATTTACCTACCTACTTAGGCATACATTTTTTACTGAGAATAAGATAACTGTCATTGATGAATATTTTATGGTATTGCGTACAATATGCAGCTCACACATGTGTATTAAATGAAACTAGCAGTACTAGTTCACAGACTAGATACAACTAAATATTTCAAGTTTTTAACGAAAACAACGACGACGAAACTACTGAGGTTTATAAATATTAATTAAGATTTCATAATTTATGATCATAACACTAATAATTTTTTTTATTGTTGCAGATGGATCAACCAGGAGACTAAAGCATATTGATCCTACAGAAACCTGGGACCGCTATATTATACTCTTACATCATGAGTAATCTCAGTGAGGTCATGAATGTGACGGAGAGCTCTTCAGCACCGGTCGATCCCACACTCATTTTCGGTCCACAAAGAGACCCCATGTCCATAGTATTGCCGATAACAATAATATATTCACTTATATTTATAACTGGACTACTGGGAAATATATTTACATGCATAGTCATAGTAAGGAATAAAAGTATGCACACAGCTACAAACTACTATTTATTTAGTTTAGCTATGTCAGATCTGCTTTTACTTGTAAGTGGGATGCCACAGGAGATGTATTCAATATGGTCGAAGTGGCCGTATGTGTTTGGCCATAGTTTTTGTGTGATAAGAGGTCTAGCGGCAGAAGCTTCAACGAATGCCAGTGTTTTAACGATAACTTTGTTTACGGTGGAGAGGTACCTAGCGATATGTCATCCATTTGTGTCACACAAGATGTCGAAGCTGTCGCGAGCAACGAAGCACGTGATATGTTTGTGGATAGTGGCGGTGTTGTTGGCGTTACCTCAAGCGCTACAGTTCGGCATTCGGGAGCACAAAGGAGTAGAGATGTGCCTGCAAACAAAAGTCATCATAGAACACTCGTTTGAAATATCGACGTTTTTCTTCTTTTTGGCACCGATGGTGCTGATCACGGTGCTATATTCACTGATAGGGCTGAAACTGAGAGAAACAAGCATAAGTAAACAACAGTCACAAAAAGATTTCGAATCAGCAATGAGATGCACACATAAAATAAGTCGAAAACACAACCAGTCCACAAAGAGAGTTGTCAAGATGTTGGGTAAGAATCAACCAAATATTAATCTATTGAACAACAACAACATCATTATAACAACCAGTATGTAAATAAAATTTTGTGGCAACGTAGACTCCGTTGGCACAAAATTTAACCACAGTTGAAACCTCGGCCGATTATATCTTCTTCAATATTTTATTCACATTAAAATTAAACTTTTAAGATTTTTAATAAAGAGATCCAACATGGCTGTCCAAATAAATAAACGTAAACAAGTTAATAGTTACAACTTGTGTATTTTATAATCCGGTTGTTTTTGAATTTAACTGATGAGATAATAAAATAAAATCTTCATTCAACTTATAACTGGTATGTAAAAAGTGGTGTCATAGTGCAAATATATCATTACAATAACACACATCATTGTGCAATTTTATCTATTGAATTAACTAAAAAGCGTCTTCGTTTAGAATTTTTGCATTCAAATTAGGTACCATACTTATTTTCGTTATTTACGCTATGAGCACAAATTAAAATAAAACTACGGTTTAATGGCCTTTATTCAGCAGTGGAGTGATAAAATTAAAACAATAGACGGGTTTATAAAAATACGTAAAACTTACACCATTAAAAGTGGTCCATGCTAATGACATTTACAGTAAAATAATAAGAAGATTAGGCAGCTGTGACTTCAACTACCGAAAACTAAGAAAATATCAATGATTATCTACTTGTATATATACGACAGAAGTAATATTCCTTTTATTGTGTTGTGGAAGGCTTATAAGTAAAACGTGGTCCTCCGGTAACCTTACCCACACGACGAAACACTCTGAGGCTCTCTGTGGCTCTTCTACACTTTGCAATTGCCGTAATAATTTTGTCACATTTAAATAACTCAACACTTGAACAAAATACATCATTACACTTTACTCTTAATTACAAAACGATAAAGTTGAAAATGTATAAAATAAATGTAAAGATTCAGCTAAGAGCATTTCACATCAATGGACATGAACACTTTAGGGCTCGTACACAAAACTGCGATGCGATGCCAATTCGCAACGCAGAAAATTACGATGTGAATTGTTGCGATGCGATTTCGTACGACAAGGCGTCTACAAAAGGTGTTTTAAATTGAAAACTAGGTCGTGGCATGGATCGTAAAAAAAGTGTGCACTTCTGTTATTGGTTAGGAGATATAGGAAAAAGAAACACAGAAGATTTTGGGAAGATAAGATTATGATACGCGATGCGAATCAATCGCAAGTTCTTGCGATGCGTAGAGGGAGCTCGCACATTTTTTTGCGATGCGCCGTCGCATTGAATTTTTGTGTACGAGCCCTTAATACGAATAGTATTATGCAACAAAATTTTACTACAGCCAGTATTCTTCGTTTAATAACATTGTAGAAAGTTTTTTTACAATCTGTTTCAGAGATTGGAAGCAATACGGATATTATTTTACAGTTTCGTTTTCATTTTACAGTGGCAGTGGTGGTGGCATTTTTTATCTGTTGGGCGCCTTTCCACGCTCAGCGGCTCGTCGCGATATATGGCACTACTGAGCACCACCGCGCACGGTCACCAATTCTCCTTTCTGTGTACTCTTTCCTTACCTACACTTCTGGAGTCTTCTACTACATGTCTACGTGCATCAACCCCATATTTTACCACATAATGTCCAATAAATTTAGAGACGCCTTCAAGGTAACTGCTAATTAATTTCATACATTCTGCTTTAGACACATTAATATACATTATACCATCTACGTGAAATACATATTATAGATTTAAACCTACTTATACAAATATGCACTTCTTAAGAGCTAAAATAATGATAATTCCGTATCTCTCTCTAAGTTTATTGGAGTTCTATTTTGATGATTAGTGAGTCAGTGTGTGTGTGTGTGTGTGTGTGTGTGTGTGTGGGGGTGTGGGTGTGTGGGTGTGTGTGTGTGTGTGTGTGTGTGTGTGTGGGGGTGTGGGTGGTGTGTGTGTGTGTGTGTGTGGGGGTGTGGGTGTGGGTGTGTGTGTGTGTGTGTGTGTGTGTGTGTGTGTGTGTGTGTGAGTGTGTGTATGTCGAAAGAGTGAAATTATGCTGCTACAGCCTTCAAATATATAATTGTAGATTTTATTAGACGGTACAATTTATTTCAAAGGTTTTTAAACATAGGTCTGAAAATACGCCGAAATGGATCTAAAAGCGAACACTACTGTAATGATACAGTAGTGTTATCTGGAAAATTGATACAGTACAATGAAGAAGGTGGTGAATACTCGAGAATATTTAGGTTAGCAGACGCCCTGTTTCAGAACTCAGTGATGCTCTGGTGCTGCCGGTCCAGCGAGAGGGCGGCAGCGAAGCGCTGTTCGTACACAGCCATCGCCTTCCAACGGAATCCAACGTCCAGTGGTACTGTGCACTCAGTTTATTTTATGTTATCCTTATATCTTTATCTTTATATATATAATTCTGCTGTACGTGTGTATGTCATTGAACTCCTCCTAAACGACTTGACTGATTTAAATGAATTTTTCTGTACGCGTTTGAGTGGCGCCCTGGATGGTATAGATTCACAAATCAGCCCGGTAGATGGCGCTGCAGTCGCTTTCTAGGTTATTTATCCTAAACGGCTGAGTTCAGCCCTTTAGGATAAATAACCTATTCATTCAAATTAGTTAATTTGAATGAATTTTTGTTTAGGTATACCTACATTCAAGTGGATATGCAGGACAACGTCTGTCGGGTCCGCTGGTATATTTCGTTGAAATAGTATAAAGCGATGTATAATTTTAATTATACGGTCTGCTTCTGGAGTTGAAAAAATAATTATAATATATTTTGGCAGACATTCAGTATTTTGTTAACAAAGTGTGTGTGTATTTGGTGGAAAACCCATTAAAATTTTATATAGAAATAAAATACTTACGGTCTTTTAATTAACATAATAATGCATTCCAATAAATTAATAACAAGTATTATAATTAGCGTTTGTTGTAATTATTTCTAGCTGAGATATTTCTAACAGTTTCTCATGTGTGTTTTGATATCTGCTCAGGAATATTTACTGTCTTACAGTAATATTAAATATTTTTATGAGACCCAATGTTTCTGTATTCACAGGTAATTCACTGAAGAACTCGTTGCGGCAGGAGCCAAGTATCCGCAACAAGTTGAGACACGACTGCAGAGATCAGTTTCTGCCAACAGTGAACGTCTGCCACAACGGCAGGACCATAGTCACACCTCCACTCCATGACTGCAGGACATGCAAACACCACTCCACCAGCAGCCTCCCAAGGATGAGATTATTAACAATAGAAACTCGTACGTCGACACAACATTGCGATTAGCAGACGGAAGGAGAAGACCATGCTCCCCAGTCTGCTGTTCCTATCCTTCACCCCCTGCCGAAATAATCACAACTACCCCCGACGGCATAGTACCAATAGAAAGAACAGACTACTCAGCAGACGAGTCAAAAAACTACCTGAAGGAAATTAAACTAAGAATAATACAACATGAAAAAGAATTTGGATAAAAATACTTCTAATATGTGAAACCAGAATCACGGTAATAATATCATACAGTATACGCCTCGATGTCGGCTCGCGCTCGAGGCACCCGACGCAGACAGTCCCGGCACGGCTGCACCGCAGTGACGAACGGACGGTGTGTTGTTTTTTTAACAATAACCGCGCGATTTTTCTCTAAAATCAATTCTTTACTGTTGGAATCCTACACTATTGATGATGAGCATAGGCTATATTTAATAAGACAGAAAAAGGAAATTGAGTGAAACTTTCGATAATGTAACCCGATGTGTGAAAATACTAAAAAAAACTCGTTATATTGCTTAAACCTTTGACTGCCAATAGAAAATTGTTTTTAAGTACTAATAATAGTATTTAGATAAGGATAAGGATCAGGATTTTAAGGAAAAACCACGAATCCAATTAACTGAATAAACTTTATTCATGGTCGCGCTGCAATTTTATTCAAAGAGCACGAGCGAAACCGTGGGCAGAAGCTATTGATGGGTAGTGGGCAGAAGAATAGCTTCTGTTTCGCTCGTGCTCTTTTAAAGTATTGAGGGCAGGTTAACAAAAGATAAAAAATAGTTGGTCCCAATATTTTGCTGCTCACAAATATGATACAAATTTATGGTTTCTTGAAAATTACGAAATTCTCCATACAAACTTCCATCCCCTGTTTTAGGGAAGTGATGGGTTAGAAAGAAACGTTCTTTCAATCCCTACAACTATCTCCAGCAATAAAAAAACACGTCAATTTCTAACAAAACAAACAGATATTTTTAAAATTCATTAAACCTTTGTATGTTATTTGACATATTTTTGACAAGTGAGTTTCATGCCAATGGATTTTTATTAAGCAATGGAATTCGTTCAACGAGAGTTTGAGACACTGGCACCGGAAAGGAAATCTCATGGAACAGGAACTATACGTTTAAATCCCGGGACTCTGTATTGCATAAACCACTGAACCTATTTGAGTGCAATTCGATACAACGATAGTTTGAAAATCGGAAAGTGAGGCCTGATAGTTTCCAACCGTTGTATCTATTTGATTGGTATTCAAATGGAGTTCTAATCACTGAAACATGAGGTTTCAGTGATTAAAACTGGGAATGGAAACTTTACGGGTAAAACCCCCCAGAAGTCATTATTATACGCGGACGAAGTCGCGGGAAACAGCTAGTATTTATTTTATTTTATGACGAGTAGGAAATATCGTGGTTTTTTGGTTGTATTTTTTTTGCAAATATTTTTCGGTCGCAAATTTATAAGACTGATTTGTTTTTCAAACAAAAACATGTTTCAAAAAAATTAAATCTGTAAAACGGCGGTGCCATAAGTTTTATACAAAATTATTCATTAAAACTTTAATAGATACCTAATTTACAATTTTGTGGTCGTTAAGTTATATCATTATGATATGAGCTTATGGCACCGACTTCTATCACACCTATCAGTGGGTGGGTAACCTATCAATACTAATAAGTTATTTTTTGATTTTTAGTTTTTACTTTTTGTTTGTTATTAGTTTTAGTTTTTGGAAGTCGGTTTTTTGAAAGCAGTTTTTATTGCTTAATTTAACATTTTTAGTGTAAAGTTACATAGATCCGTTTTGCCACTCATAATCCACATAGGTAAAAAGTTCTAATCAATACAAATTATACAAACCCAAACACAAGGTAGTTACGATAAACCGTTAAAGAGTACCTTTAACAATTACACTTCTTCATCATCAGACCCTTAGTGGCAGTCCTATTATCAGGTCAGTCTGTCTATCCGTCGGCTCCATTATCAGGTCGACTCCAGACCTTTATCAGATTGTAGTGTTAAAAAATACTAATTGAAAAATGTAATAGACGCATTACTCGCCCCTACAAGTTTCGAAAGTTCCCTTCGATTTCCCTAGGATTCCATCATCAGATCCTGACTTCATAGAAATAGACCGTCTCGGGATCGGGAGGATACCCTTTCAATTAAAACGAGAATTTTGGAAATCCGTTCTCAAATGGCTGAGTAATCGGCGAACAAATAAAAAAAACAATCAGCCGAACATAGTACCTTCTCCTTTTTTGGAGTCGTAAAAAAGGATATTTACCATCAGAAAACTAAATAGGAACAGAAAGTAGGCAAACGTAATTAAAATGCTGGAGACGGGCAGCCCTAACGCATGTTTACGTTCCCTTGCGGCTATTTAACTCTGTCATGCGGCCGAGTACACTACTGTATGATAATATTACCGTGCTAAAATATTAGGTACATAAACAGAACAATTTTCTCAATATCTTGGTGTCAGCGTTACCCATAATGTAAATAATAGACGTTCACGACTACACTTAATTAAGATATTGATACAAACAATGACTTGTTTAAGTGTAGTTTTAATATCTGTCGACTTAAATATCTATCGAATTGTAGTTACGTGCCTAAGTAATTTAAATTATAATTCAGGAAATGTGCTCATAAAAAACCAGTTCCATTTACAAAGCGAGTTCATCATTTCATTTAGTACATTTTTGGTGACTTTATTTAAATTGTTATAAAAAGAAGTAAAAACGACCATCAAAATGTTTTTTCTTTAAATAAAAATAATGCCACGAAGGCAAATTAAGACATAGGTACCTACAATGTTTTGCAAATTATTCACAAAACTCTCAAAACAGTTTAGTTTGTTTTTGAGTGTTTTTGTAGCCAGAAATTATTATTTATTTAATATTATTATTTTTTGTGATACTTTATATCATGGACAAGGCCATGCATTTGTTTAAAGTTATAGTTACAATTTGCTTATTTTGTCAAAATAAGCGATCTGTTTTCATTGTCATCAGTAGAGTTTAAATTCGATAATATTATTTTAAGCACGTCCATAAATAAATATTAGATTTTATGAAAGTATTAATGTCGTGAGTCCAAAGTTATATTTAATCCTAAGCTGAAACCTTATTTCAGGAAGCCTTTGTAATTTTAGTTTCTTTTTGTAAGTGAAAATTAGAATAGCAATTACTTAACTAATTACTATGATCAACAACTGTGAAACCAAATTAAGCCGGCTGTATTTATTTTTGGATATAGCAGCTCGTGAGTAAATGTAGACTAAATTAATCTTGTCTATATGATATAGACGTTTGAATAATTTATTAGTTTCTCGAAACTTCTTCGGGGTTTCCACTGGCAAGGCTTTGTTTGATCACGGGTAACTACGAATGAAATGACTTACCAATTGTAAAATAGTGGAATCTTAATTATTTGAGTAAAGGCTAGGACAAAGAATGATCTGATTTATTAGCATGACACTTGGTAGCCATTTTGTTCGTTGCGGCATACAACGTAAGATATAAAGTACTTTGTTTTATGTACAATAATATTAGCTGCCTCATTCATTGGTTTCTTCGCTTTCACGTCTTTAAGGCTGTAGACAAACCAACACAAAATTTTCAGAAAAAAAATAACTCTACAAAATACACATAAACTTTATAGCTATTCTAGTTTTCACTCACTTTGTCTTCTCGATATTTTTAAATATGAATGTATTTTGACATCGTTTATGTCTTTTTAATATTTTTGGGATAGGACTTAACTTAAACGTAGGTAAGTAAGTCTGTATTGTGAGACTGAGATTAAAAACTAACGAATGTTTTAATAAAATGTGAAGGAGATAGTTATATGTATCTACTTAATGCTTTTTCCTATTATATTTTAGTGATTTTTATGTTATAATACGAATTGTTATATTTACCTCTGTAAATACCTCAACATACAAATGTAAATAAATATGTAAGTGATTCGTTAATTCATAATTTTGTTAATGTTGTAAATGTTCTGTACGATTTACGAAATGTTTTTGTGGAAAACACAGTATTTAAATAAAATGAATGGTGTTATCAAAAACTGCTGGCGTTTTACCATTCACGAGCGTAATTAAGTATCTAATTTCTTTTTTTAATGTTAGTGAACTTAGCTGATCATTGTGCAGCAGATCAAATATAAATGAGAGTTCTCATTGCATACAGCTGAGTTCTATAGTTCCTGATACCTTTTAGAAATAGTTCCGGCGTTCTTATCTTAAAAAAGACAATTGAAAAAATGATCTGCCAACTTCCGGAAGCAGATCAATCTCTAGCAGATTATAAATGAACGTCAGTTCTTATCACATATGAAGTAGTTCTACAGTTCCTGATAAGTTTTAGAAATAGTTCTGGCGTTTTTACCTTATTGAAAAAAAAAATTCCAGCAGATCATTTTACAGTACCTAGATCAGAAATAAACGTGACTTCTTATCGCATGCGAATGAGTTCTACAGTTCCTGTGGGCGCGGTGGCTGGACAACTGGCTGCCGCGCAACGTGTCGCGGGTTCGATTCCCGCACGGAACAACTCTTTGTGTGATCCACAGATTGTTGTTCCGGGTCTGGGTGTCATGTGTATGTGAACTTGTATGTTTGTAAACGCACCCACGACACAGGAGAAAATCCTAGTGTGGGACAACGTTTAAAAAAAAAAAGAATTACTAAATATGATCCACACAAATAAACAAACGGGGCAAGATAAATGACTTGACTTATTTGACTTGAACTTCACTTACCAAAATCCAATGCTTGTTGGGTTGTTTGAAAACGTCATCCAATGATTTGTCCCTCCTTGGGTGATCACCTGAGTTGATAAGACACGTAAGTGAAAAAAGTTGTTTGCGGTGAATGTTTACAAATGATATGAAAAGTCTACATTTATTTAGAGGAAAGATTAAATTTTTGTTTGTATTTGAACAAACGGGGAATTATTCGAATCTAGGCCCGTAGAGAGGGAGATTCTTACTGACTAAAAAGCACCTCGTTTCAACTCCTCCTTAGAACCGGAGCCCCGGTAAGCTGCCAGGTCGTCCGCAGGTCCGAATTTGAACATCATCGTCTATTAGAAGAAAGAGAATACTGGATAAGTAAGTAGTGCAGTACCTATAATTGTATGAGTGTAAGTATGTACAAGGCAAAGGAATAAGTTAAATCGACAGTTCC